TCCGGTCAGTAAATTCGCGCTCTGACCACTTGGGCCATCTCGCTCCCAATTCGCGTTCAACAAGACCACGAATTTTACTATTATTGTGTTATTTCCATACATCCTCAGCTCTGATTAGCAAAAAATCGAACGTTCGAGGAAATCCCCATTCCCTTTGCTTACTGGTTGGTGCCACGGACTAAGGCAGATTTTTTCGGATATTTTTGCATGGATCCAGCAAACGAATTGCAAAACACAAGGACCAAGGCGGAGGAATGTCTTTCGAGAAACTACCCAAGGTCGTGAAATTTCTCCCATTTCTTATTTGACAGTCTGATTCCATCAGAATCAGTAAGAACGCACAGAAACAATGAAGGTGTTTGTATGTGAGCAGCGTGTGGCCGATCGATTTTGGAACATACTCCATGGCCGCTAAACGACATACTGACTCTGCAAGCACCTGGAAAACTTTCCAAGTTTGACTAATTCTGCTAAGACGTCCTTTTCTAGTACATTTCTCCATCTGATCAATGGGAGGCCTTGCTTTGCATAACAGGATCAGGGAATGAATCAAATAGCCTTTGACCAGCACAGAATGGCAGCTCAGAATCTGGTAGCCTGTAGGCACGCTTCTTTTGTGTCGTGAGGAAAACCAGCTCCTTCAAACTGACTCGCTGGAACTCATTTCACTAGCAAACTCATTCCTAGATGAGACCCTCCCATAGAAGAGACTGAGGTGATCCGTCCGGAATATCGGGTTCGTGATGAGTCACCTAAGTGGTGTTGACAAGAATGCTTTTTCAAGCAGTCCCTCAAGACCGACAAACGAATAATTCACTCGTTAACTCGGAACTGGGGGTGAGATGGCTCAGTGGTTAAAGGGCGAATCCACTAACCGGAAGGTCAGTGGTTCGAACTAGACCTTTGCCTTCCCCTGTCTAGGCTTGGGCAACCTGGCAGTATCCAAGCCCTCATGCTTCCTCCGGGTGGCACCGAAAGAGCGGCACGGCTGGACAACTAATTCTAGAATCACCTTTCGGCGAACAGCAGCGAAAAATCAGAATTTTTCTCCACCAATTAGGAGAACTCACTCGCTAAAGTTTGCGAGGCTGTAACTGCCTGGTGTGTAAGCGCGACAGTATGATCAAAATCGCACGGTTTTGAAAGCGATTTGGGTATGTCGCTCCCCACAAAGAGGCTCCGATTTCACGGGGTCAGTCAAATGGGTCTTCTTCATAAGGCACGATTAGACCGAAGTGAAGCTTAGCAGGCTAGGTCATTCGCCTTCCTCCACCCGAGGTGGAAATATTCCACAACAGTGCCAGCCTTTCCCACATCATCTTTAACCGTCTTTGTGCCTGGGAATTGGCGAAAGGCCAGGGTCCCATCCCACCCTTAAATGCGGTTCTACTTGTGTTTGCATTGAGACAAAAAAACCTCAAAAACCCAGCTAAGCACTACTTTTTATCGCCATGTCGGAAAATAAATACGTGTAACCTGCAACGGCCGTTTGACTCGATTCACAGAGGGATTTTATTCTTCCGACAGAAAACCGTATTCCACCATCGCGTGATTGGCAGTCCCATTCGTCCGGATTGCAAAGCGATTACGCGTTTTTGTTTTTTTCACTCCCTATCCACCGGCATTGTAGACAAAACTGACAGTTGAGAAATGCTCCGGGCGGGACAATGCATCGTCGGTTAGGCTGGACCACAATTCCATGTTAACTACACAGCGGCAACCGTGCGACAGTCGCGCACGACACCGGGCTATTATCCCGCACAAACATGGTTGCTATATCACGCTCACCGCGACCGCCTGAAAGATTGACACTCGAGCCGCCACATTCTCCGTCCGACGAGCAGCGGAAAACGAGTGCCCTTCACCGTTTTTTTTCATACAAAATTGCGGATGATTGATGCATTGGGAAGAAACTGACAGAACGGTCTCCCACTTTGACGGTATGGTGCTTCTGCAACGGTCGTAAAATTGTCACTAGGGCCGGTTCTGATGCTCGTTCTTGGTGTATCAGTCAATTCTTCCTTTTATCAGAGGGAAGGAGGGATCATCTCATCCAACAACCATCACCGGCCAACCGAGGGTGGTTTCTTTTGGAGAATCAACTCCCCTAAGGGAGAAACAAATTTTAACCAATCACAAGTAGTCCGGGCAATGGAAAGTGACCACACACAGGTCAAATTGTTGTAGACCTCTCGTAAACTAAACGGCTATTGTTAGACTTTGTATATCACTACACGGTCGAGCTCGTTGAAACTTGTTCTTGCCTTCAGCGGTCGATTAATGACGCCTGGAAATGAAGAGAGTCACGTGGCACAAATCAAGCAGAACTTGACAGCCAATTAGTGAATCAACTAACGAATACTTGATAATCTGTTGGCGCCCATCCATCGGGTGTTCTGCCAGGGTTGTCATGGAAACATGTCGCGAGGAGTTGACAAAGGAATGCCACTTCCACTTAGTACTTCTGACATTCAGAATTACATATCATGTCACAATCAATCGATATGCTATTTATATGCGATCTTCGAATTGCATCGGTTTTTCTCATATTAGTGTGATCATTTTCGATTATCTGATAGCCCGTTAAACTTGTTCGGGTGTGCCAACGCATCGGTCTAATATTTTAACCCATTATTGTTCATGTTTTCTGCCCAATTCAGTGTTAGTTAGACTTTGTATATCACTACAAGGTCGACCTCGTTGAAACTTGTTCTTGCCTTCAGCGGTCGATTAATGACGCCTGGAAATGAAGAGAGTCACGTGGCACAAATCAAGCAGAACTTGACAGCCAATTAGTGAATCAACTAACGAATACTTGATAATCTGTTGGCGCCCATCCATCGGGTGTTCTGCCAGGGTTGTCATGGAAACATGTCGCGAGGAGTTGACAAAGGAATGCCACTTCCACTTAGTACTTCTGACATTCAGAATTACATATCATGTCACAATCAATCGATATGCTATTTATATGCGATCTTCGAATTGCATCGGTTTTTCTCATATTAGTGTGATCATTTTCGATTATCTGATAGCCCGTTAAACTTGTTCGGGTGTGCCAACGCATCGGTCTAATATTTTAACCCATTATTGTTCATGTTTTCTGCCCAATTCAGTCCGAACCGGTCTGTCCAAGTCCACTGGCTCTATTGGCGAAGACGTGTCAAAGCATCGGCCAAATGATGGAAGCTAGTGTGAATGGTCTGGCCCCAACACAGCCTGCTGGGACTTTACAGCGGTCGGCTATCAACTGTTCCGGTCCTGGTACTCAACTCAGCCCAACAGCCTCCACAAAACACAGCAAGATTAAAACTCACAGTCCGACGGAATCAAAGCCGACAGTCAACGCCAAGCGACCCGTTACTGGACGTACAAAATGGATGAAACCGGATGGTTTGTCCGCGGCTAGTAATCCTGTGAATGGGCTATCCCCACCGACGACACTTCATGGCGATCCCGTATCGTCCTCGCGTCAGTCAGCTCCACCCAGAGTACCTATGGCTGGATCGATAGACGG